AAACTTTACTTTCCAAATCGATTTGAACACATCATATAAAAGGAAGGAGTTCATTGAGGGTAAATCATAATAACCATTCTTCGTTCATGAGTAAGCGAAACGGGTTTGCGAATGAATATTTGAATTTAATTTTAAGCATTAAATCATGACGACAATGAAAACAGGTGACGAAAAATACAATGACATGCTCCTTACGTTGACGTGTACAACACCACATTTTAAATTCTAGTTGCAATAAACATTTCGCTTTATGAAAATACTCGTTAACTATATGATTGTATGTCGATTGTGGAAAGTTCACTAGCCTCGGTGTGATTCGAACCCACGCATGGACGCCACCTACGCCTTGTACGTGCACGCTCTATCAGCTGAGCTACGGGAACACACCGATAGCACTGATCTTTTCACATTCGAATTTATGATTGATTCATATTCCTGGATCTGTTTGTAACCGTACTCTTGATAGTTGTAGTCCAGTTAATGAATTGCAACATGCTAAAGTGGACGTTCTATACCATATCATCTTGTAACTTACGACTTAATCATGTTCCCTCAGTTCCGTTTTATAACATATGGAAATCCGCTTCAGCGATTGCGTTATATTGTGTCAGCTTCATCGTCAAACATCCCTAGCTAATCAACCATTACTGTAGCAGCAGCAGTAGAGTGTTGATCTTTTGCGAGCTACCTTTGGCAATGATGCGTCTTTCAGAAGCACTATGTTTGAGTGGTTTGAGGAATTCAAGCATGGCAGGTGGTCCCTGGATGATGAGACACAATGTAGTTAACCTGTGTATGCCACCTCCACGGACAACAGTGCTGCTGTGCAAGCGATGGTGGAGGAGGATGCTCGGGTGACAGTGGCGAAAGCCATCAGAATCTCATCGGGAGCAATCCGCTCCATCCTACACGCCTCCGCCTCAGAAAGGTTTGCGCACGCCGGGTACCCCATCAGCTCAGTGATGGACAGGAAGCAGTNTTTGATGAAGGACAATCCAATCCATTTTGAGAGATAACCAGTAGTAATGAGTCTTGGGTGTACAGTTTCAACCCAGAGATCAAGCAGTAATCTGCTCAGTGGACGGCGGTTGGTGAGGCACCGCCTCAGAAATTCCGACGCGAGCGCAGTGTAACAAAGCAGACGATGGCCGTTTTCATGACCGAAGCTGGTCATGTTGCTACTTTATCGCTCGTGCAGCAAAGCACAGTCACCGGAGACTGGTAGGCCACCCATTGTCTACCGAAAGTGCTGGAAGCCGTTGCCAGGCGTCGCCCACGGACTCCAGGGTCCTTGCTGCACTATGACAACGCAACTGCAATCAGGTCCCATGTCGACGTCTGTTTTCTGGCTAGAGAACGCATAATGCGTAGAATCCGACACGAGTCACAGACATCTGCAGTGGTGACCTTCATTGAACTGGTCGAAGGTTTACCTGCTTCGGCATGGTCGAGCTGTTTCGCCAAAAGGTTTGGACGCCGGGATCTATTTTTGAACGCTGGTGGAGAATACTTCTATAAAATGTAATGCTTTTTTGTGTAATAAATAAAAATTTTTGTGCATCCAGAAACTGTCTGCTCAACCCTCGTGTTTTCTACTGATAGCAGTCCATGACCCCAGCGTTTGACAAAAACCCACTAAACCTACAAGAAATGTGTCAAATACAAACTGAACTGTTTATGAAAACCCGGTTTCTCTCCGTTGAATTGATAAATATGGAATCAACTCGAAGATATTTGCTGTTTGACATTGATTGATTAGTCGAATCGAAGACCGGTTTGCCCCGTCGGTTTTTTAGACTCAATCGATCGCCTTTCAGCTTCAGTTATTTTCAAAGTATATCGATTTTATTCTCCTCTCCTGGAGAAGCTTACGTAAAGACAGAATATGCGCAGGATTAAGTTGACGTTGCCTAATGTCCCTATTATATTCGATAAAGTGACCATGTGTTCGAACAGCGCTGTTGCCTAAATTCCCATTTATTTATATCTTACGGCATCTTTTGCTTGACGGGATGTCTGAAGATGACTGTGCAGTGATCTACTCAGCAAGAGCAACAGAAAGAAACGAATAAAAGTAACGGTTTTTAATAATTTTGATTAAAATGAAATGTTTTCTCCATGCAGTATCAAAATATTACTCGCCCCTGAAACGCATTGGAAACTCTGTACTGCTCGTTTTTGTCCTTCAGAATTATTATCGGTATAACTCCACCGAATCTCTTAGAATTCAAACGACAACATTCTTGTCATTGGTAGTTATTACCAGTATTGGTATGATAAGTAAGTTACTGAAATTATACGTTTCCTAACAGCTTTTAAAAACCGGAACTACAGTCAATTTGTTAATGATGATCCCAAGATGTTCATCGTTTTTATAGCTGAACAAAGTATGGACCCAGGTTTGCGTCATTCTACTTAAAGCCTGTGGATTTAACTGAATAAACGCGGCTTCGTTCCTTAATGATTGTTGTACACAGTTCGCCTTTTGTTTGATCGTTCCGACTTGCCAACAGAAATAACAACAATCTAACTATTCTCTCTATCCGCACAAAACTAGGTTCGCTACAGTCTTCGACACGTTTGGGTCAGTGCTGATGGGACTCCCGCTCCCGATCTATTCCAAGTTGATGCACAAGGTGTGATTCGTACGATGGAAGTTTTGGATCGAGAAAAAACGAATGCGTACACACTGGAATTAGTCGCATGTGATTCGGCTCCAAAATCTCCTCTATGCAGCACACTGAATGCCACAATCACCGTGGACGACGAGAATGACAATAAACCGGTTTGGCATTATCCTCACGATCAGGACAAAGAAGTGAACATCACCTCCGACTTACCTCCGGGACATTTGATCGTGCGCATACGAGCGTCCGATCGGGATGCTGGGGATAACGGACGTGTGGTGTACACTCTGATCGATCCACATAAACGAACTGTGTTTGAGGTAAGTGATGGTGTGAGTCATCGTCTCCGGTACCCGACGATATTACTGTTTTTGATTTACCTACACAACGTAGAATCCTATGCTGAAAACTTCTCCAGTAAACGTTGGGCGGAAGTGGAATACGTACACATTTCGCTTTCGAAACCAGCAACTGCTTGCACGCTTGATCATACAGGTTTCTCAGTTTAAAACTGGAGAGGTCTATGAAACATGGCGATTGTTGAGTTTAACGTGTCCCTTTAAACGTGAAGATACATTTATTTGTGTCACTTTTGAATTCCATTACCAGCAAACCTTACTGAGTTTCCATGAGTTCTTCTAATTCTCGCATAATGCGCAAACTTACACTAAAGGTGCCTGAACACCTTCAGATCTGAAATTTGGTGTACCACCGAATCTCCTTCTGGTCATCGTAGAGAAAATTTTCCGTAAAGGTCTTAGCTCCAGTGAAAATAAAATTAAAGCAAGCCTTTCCCGAGACCAATCTCAATAGAAAAGACTACATCGTAATACTGCACGATCTAGGTCCAGAACGATTTCGCTGCATCTCAACATGGTGCTTAATGCAGAAAGCGCAACGTTTATATGAGGCTTTAGCATGACAATAGCGTAAAGTAAAATAAACTGTTTATCTGTTTTGATATATTTTACTGTAGTTTTTACCATGATAAATCCCTATATAAACATTGAGCTTTCTGCATTACGCACCATGTTGAGATGCAGCGAAATTGTTCTGGACATAAGTCGTGCAGTATTGATATATGATATTTTTGAAAATAAAATTGCTCTTCGCCAAATTGATTGAAGGAGTAAACGTCGATCATTTGTTAAGGATCGATGGGACAGATCGAATTAACTATAAACTACACGCCTCCGGTCTGATGTCATATGGCTTGTCGAGAAAACTAAGCGTTCACTTAGGCACGAATAAACTGACAAAGTATTTTGTACCTCGGCACAGTATGCTCGTATGCATTTCAGGTATTTCTTTCGAGACATATTTGGATTTTGTCAGTTAGACGTCTCCGTTTACTGACTACGCATGCCTCATGATGATGTTAAAGATAACAGTGAAATGTTGATGCTCCAAACAATGTATTATCCCACGCTTTCTGACTGACTTAAATTTGTATCTAGGACTATGGGTCAGCGTTTGTGGGATCGGGTGAGTAAGCACACTATGGAACTAAGACATTTGAATAACTTGAGGCGAAAACTAGAATGAATAAACAATCAGCCAATTTCGATAGCTTCTTAAAAGAGATTTCAGGTCCAGGTTTTCTTATATGAAGTGCTTATGAGAAGCCGTTTTGCTCGCCGGATAATATTTTCGGTTGTCCGAACAAAGGGATATGGGAAATTCTGTACTCGGTCTCATATATAGGTTTCACTGTTTGACGTACGTTCACGGATGTTGCATTCCTCGAATCTCTACTTGAATGAATCAGATTTAGGCGTACAGACAACTTGAATAATGTGGCAGATTCCAAGTACTGCACACTCTGAGAGTAAATGAAGGATGCCATTATTGCCGTTAATATATTTTTGGAGCATTAACTTAAGTGAATGTCCCCCGAGGAAGAGGACAGATGACAACATTGGTAGTGATTCATTTGAATGTTTGGAGTTCTGCAGTACTTCAGACACCAAAATTAACTATTTAATTTGGCGGTATTTAGTTGAGTACGACCTAATTGGTTGGAGTTTTCCAGATGGGTATGACAGAACAGTTGCAGGACTATTTTCTTGGTCATTATTTCTGCAATTGCTAAAAGCTTGTTGGATTCGGTTTGGCTTTTACAACCATTAACCATGCACATTCGTGCAGCAGCTGCTAAGTGAAGAAGTTGCAAGCTTTTCAGAATAGCTTGAATGCCAGCGTAGCCATGTTTGATATACGTTTTGAATCTTCAAAGTGTAAAATGTTAATTCAAGATTGGGTTGATCCTGCACCCAGTCTCAATCTAACTGGGCAGATGGACAAGTTTTGTTACTTGGGCAGCTGCATCTCATTCGGTGGACGCATTACGAATGAAGTGTCAGCTCGTATACAGAAGGCTCGGTTGGCATTTGCCAAATTGAGACATCTGTGGCGCCGTCGCGACATCCGGCTGTCTGTTAAGGGTTGAGTGTGTGCTGCGGCAGTTCGGCCAGTTCTGCTATACGGCGCAGAAACCTGGCCATTAAGAAGTAAGGATAAAGATAAACTGTCGGTGCTTGAACACCGCCGCATTCCACGAATCTGGTGGGGCAGCCGGACGAGCAATGTTGAGGTTAGGCGCAGAGTTTTGGGTATTCGCGGTCGCCCACTAGAGCAAGTGGTCGACCTCCATAAATCACTTTGGTTGGGGCATGTGTTACGCATGTCATCAGATAGGTTGCCACGGCGAGCGATGTTCGCAGAGACTGGTATTGAGTGGAAGAAAGATCAAAGGTGGTCAAGCTAATACCTGGCATGAGGGTACGAAAACCCTAACCAGGAGTTTGGAGTTGTAGCGCAGTGGTTTCATCGCTGTCACAGGCGTGCTTTGGACCCTATGGTCCGAGGTTCGAGCTCCGCCACTGCCACTCAACTTTGTTGGTAGGCAACTTTGCTGTCGTCCAGTTCAAACCCAAACCTGACCTAGCTGGGCCTTATTTGGTTCGCCACTCCAAGTCCCGGGGCTTAGGTCACCAGTTTCTTTCAATGAAAAGCAAGTCCTCGGGACTATGGAGTTCGCCCTGTCTGCCGTTCATCACACGGAAGTGTGTAATAAAAAACAAAATATATAGGTTCCGTTAGGCTCTCTGGGACCTCGGGATGACAGTATTCGATGGTTAGAAACACTGAATGAGTTTTGTAAACAGTGGCGTTTGTGCATCTTGTCAATTTCTCTGCAACATTAGTGCAATGAAATTCTAAATTTTCTGTTTGCTCCTACTTTCGACTTTCCTGTTTTTCTCCTAATATTTATCCAAATGGGCAGCCAAAAGACAGCAACCAAAACCGATGTAGGATAGTGCAGGGTTAATGGTTGTACAAACTGAAAGTGAACTTGTTGTTGTCTTTGCGTTGGATAAAACAACGGATGGAGGATTGCAATGTTGAAAGCATTGTCTAAGAGATACTAAAGAATTCTGGTCAGTTAAGTTTGCGAAGAATATGAGATGCACAATCGCCACTGTTCAAGGCACTCAGCTATATCACTCAATGGCTCCAACCACCGGTTACGCTGGTTTTAAACCTGATCGTGGTTGTGTCGATCACATGTCACTTTTCACCAAATTCCAGAACACAAGTAATTCTTTCCTATGTCTGCCATTTCATGTTCCTCGATCTGAAAACATCTTTCAACTTAGTCAACCGCTGTACGCTCTAGCGCCGTTCCTTCTTGAAGGGTGTACCCGAGAAGCTTACCTCAATATTGGCATTCCTTTTTACTAATAGCTGAAGCCGAAGTCGAGCTCACGGCACTTTTTTGCCCGAGTTCACCACAGAAAGTGGTGTTCGTCAGGGTTGCCACCTCTATTACTTTCTATTCAGCTTTGTGCTGGATCCAATCGTGTTGCAGCCTGAAAATTTCAGACTCGCTTAATGTGCGGCCCAGGTATGCTCATAATAAGAGTTGTACACATCGACTAGAAACTCACTTCAGCAGATCGGCGTGCCTAAGTAATGGACGACCCTGTGAAGCAGTTAATCGAACAGCTTAGTTCGCCTTGATCGAGCACTAGGGTTTGCTCATTCCATGCATGTGGCCGTTGTTCGTGTTCTAGTAGAAAACCGATTTTAGTAGGAAACCGATTTTCTAGTTTAATGATATGACTGGCAATTTTGATGCATCGCGTTCAATGTTCAGTGTAATATTGCTGCACGGTGCTGAGTTCTCTCCAAAATGCTAGTAAGCCCTTCAGTTTTGACATCATCTGCAACTATATTTTTTGTGCTAGGTATACTTTTGGTAAAAACGAAAGAAAAACGATTCTCAAGCACAGACCCCTGTGAAGCCCTGCGAGGAACGTGGATAGCACCGAATAAGAAATAAAAAACTTGAACTGCCCTGGTATCTTGTCTTAGGAAGTCTTGGATTCGAATTTGAGTTCCCGGTTTCCAAATCAATCGGGTTCTTGCAGGATTAAAATGGTAAAATAAAAGTAAACTAAATTTGTTTCTACTCCCTATTTACATTGAAGATACAAGCGTAGAATCAAGTCTCAGGAAGGGGTCCGCGGCCATAAAAAGGCTGCCTGAGGAAATGTAGAAATGGCGAAGTTGAGCGGCGATGGTGCATTTTAAAATTAGAACAGCCAAGTCGCTAGTTTGATTACCTTAACTAGTCCAGCACCGCCACCAATGGTCGAATACTTTGAAAAAATTGGAGTACACTTTATCCACTGCTTGGCCTAGGACATGTGATTTTTGTATGTTCCTCTAGGGTCACATGCGAATTTTTGACGTACAATCGCTTTCGCCGAGATACACACTGTTTCCGCAAATGATCGATTATTACGTCTGAAATAATGAATCACTTGATTGGGATTACGACGTAGAACCAGGAATAGGAATAGGAATGGGACCACTTCAAGGCTACATGAGGTAATACGGAATGTGGGAGTCACGGGCCTCTTCAAAGGTATTCGAACACGGCCTCCACAAGAGAACTACCGCGTGTTCGTTTCCTGTTTTTGCGTTGAGTGCCACCATAGAGATTTACGATGGACACTGAGAACGTTCGTAAACGAACCATACCTCCCTGCATATCGGTAGCAACTGTCTGTGAATTTTTTTTACAATGGCGGAAGTTCTCCAAAATTCTCCAGTTTTCTCTGAAGGCGGAAATTAGGGTTACAAGGCAGAGAAATAGAAGTATCGCGAAGCCTGAAAATTCAATCATAGGTCAAGAGGTCAACTTCAATAGACCTTAGATTGTGGTACGGTCTTAGATAGCACGGGTTATCTCATGATTGATATCGTCTAGTCGACCAGCCGATTCGATCCACAGCTCCGGATCCATACCGATTACGTCACTCTTGTGCAACAAATGTTCGATGTGAGATTAGACAGACGTCAATCTCTGAACACACCGTGATTAAAGAGAACATTCGCACACAAATTTTCGTCAGGACACTCCATTTGAGATAAGCACGCGTTGCACCGTTCCTTCCTTTCCTATTATTGAACAACAATTTTTAAATCTCGTAATGTCACTACTAGTTTTCTTCCGAAGAGGGGAAACTTTATTTTCGAGTTACCCAGCCATGTCTGAATATTATAATACATTGCAAACTATGCATAGCACAGGTCGGTGGTTTGTTTTCTAAACGTTTAAACTGACAAAAATTGAGTTTTGGCGACAGCTGAGGTTGACTGAAATACTATATTATATTCGCACATGTTTCATGTGTGTCCTAGTTCCAGATGTGGACCAAACAAAACACTGTATAATAATCCCGTACAAATAGAAATCAATCTCTAATTTGCTCCTAGATAGAATAATGCATGCGACAAAGTTGATGAATTTTCTTGAAAGATCCACATTCAGAGCCTTGGACTAGCCAAAGTCTTATCTACAAAGCAACTTGGCAGTGCCTGAAAACCGTAGTCCATAGGACGCTAGTCTCCAGTTGACCAGATCATGTGCCCGCTGAAACAGGTTGAACACCCAAGGTGTCTAGTACACCTCAATGCCCAACCAAACCGGTGAACACGGCCACTACCGGGAAGGTGTGGGTATACCTTGAACGTCTCTTCCTAATTATTTTGGAATAAGGGTGTTGTGCCGACTCCTTTAGGTGAACTCTCAGTATTTCACTGACGTAATTATAGTCCTGGATTTAAGTTTTTCGTCCTCGTATTTTGGAGACTACTCACGAAAGAAGATGTATACTCGACCATACTGAAGCTTTCGGCAAAATGCATGCTGCGTAACCGCTCTCCCGTGAATCAGCATCAATTGTAGAACATAACATAACGTAGTAGGTTCGAACAAAAGAGAGCGGTGAACACNATTAAGAAAATATTTTTGTTCTTATTTAGTCATGTCTAGGTTGGTGTATTGTCATGATTACAAGTCCCTGAGATCGGGCTTGTTCATCAACCTACATTTTGTTTGAAATGCCTAAAATTAATGATCCATAACTTCATTTTGAACCAATTTTCAGGTGTCAGAACTATGTATATCATGACACTGTAACTCTCAAATTCCGAATACCAGCGGATGATGTGGTTCCGAAATTGGCCTACTCGTAATATCTAGTTCTGCTTCTGTTGTACAATAATCACNCACTCTTACCTATTCGATTCGGAATCGATGAGTTTGCTTTTCTCCCATTATTGTTGTTTCTATCTGTATTTTATTTCATAAACTTCAGCATTTATATATTTGCTCTGTTCCGGCAAATATCGTGAGTTCGGTCACACCCACACGACCGTGTTTAGCAAACCGGAGCCGTTATTTTTCCCCACGTACCGCGACCCAACTGGAAACGATTCCATCACAATGCAGCTTACCTATCTGCTCCCATCTGCACACGCCCAAACCCGCAAATTATTAACTCAGATCACAATGTGAAATGTTTGCAATCTGTGCAACCTTTGCCCCACCTGATGACCACTTTTTGTCTGATTGAGAGTGTGTAATCACCTGGTGTCCTTTCGTTTGTGTACATTCAGGTGGATAACTACACCGGTGAAGTAGCTATTGCAGGTACACCAGTCAATCCAGATTCCGGTGATCAGCAAGGTGCCGGTGGCGTGGCTGATTCCGAATCGCCTAGTCCTCTACTTCCGGGAATCTATCGTCTTCGGTTGCGCGCGTCCGATTTAGGTCACCCTCAACATTCCACGGAGACGTGGTTACAGGTAAGATCTTTCCGCAAACAATTTCGGGTTTTACAATTAATTGTAAAGAGATTTTCATCGAACTGATGTCTGTGCTATTCCTTATCTTTATGTAGTTCCCCACTTCCGTAAACCATGGATCTCATGAATATTTAGCATGATAACTCATTTAATGATATCCCATTTCGTTACTGCGGACAACCCTAAAGTGACTCAAATCACATAAAAAATATTACTTTCAATCTGACCGAGGCAAGTATGCGCCATTTTTGGGGGTGGAAGCAAATCTAAACAGTTTTTGGTCATTTGGTGTGTTTCTTGATTGACCGAACTCCGCGCATTGGGATTCGAATTGCTATCCGCGAGTTTAGTCCTTACCGTAGTATATTCGTTGTCACATATAAGAAATTCCGTATAGCAATTGCCTAAATAGCTGAATATCGGATAGAGATCGAGGACAAAGAACAAAGAATTCTCGATCTCCATCCGTGGACAGCTCAGCCTACGGATCAAGGAAGGAAGGTCTCAAGAACTGCACACTTATTTGGCTGCTACTTACCTTAAGGATATTTTATTTTTTATCAAACTCTATTGACGACCCGAAGAAGGAGTTAATCCCATATCCACGAGGAGTCTATTGTTTAGTTATGGAATGCGAAATCTTAGCCCCGGGCTTCGGAGTTGTAAACCACATGAAGCCTCATCAGCATAGGCATGGTAAAGAGCTGGATGAAAACGAAACGTGCCACCACCAAATTTGGCTGACGTTGGACAGATTCGATCTCCGGACCCTGTGATCCCAAGTACCCCAATAACAGCGACTACCACCCAGTTTCATTTGTTATCATTATAGTCTTCTCGGCACTGAATTAACACGGTTCTTTCTCCTCTATCGGCGCTCATCATTAGTGAACGCGCTACCATCCCACAGTGTCAACCCTTCGATTTTTGGCCTCCTGTCAATAGCTGCAGCTAGTTCCAGGACTCAGTTTGCTATTGTTCACTAGTGAATATTCTATCCTCTTGATTACGGGCTTTCACCCGGTCGGCTGTTAATCACACGAACCAATCCAAACATTTACTAACATAATGCGTAGTATATGAATGACTGGAAAGAAATTCTCAGAAGCACATGACCAGCTTCGCGGTCTTTGACGCTTTTCAAGTATGTGTATCTGGTTAAATGCATCTAAGCCACAATACATGATACAGAATCATCGCAATGACTCTTCGAGACTTGCTCGTCTCAAATCCACTCTCCGAGTTGCGAATTGGATTTGCATTGCATCATTTGCTTACATGTCGAACTTCAGTTGTCGAAGAACATACCAAACTTAGCTACGCCATCAACCGAACTGTCCACAAAAGCTTGCCACATGGCTATATCTTCACGCACCAATACAATTTCCTCTGTTTAATCCCGATCAGTTGGCTTGATCACCAACATCACCATCCTCACATACTAGGTAAAAAGACTGGTGAACTTGGGGACCAGAAACACGAGTACGGCTCTTCGTAAATAGGGATCTCAGACGATAGGTAAACTACACTAGGGAAGTCGCGTCAGAGAAGTCACAATGTAGTTGTGTTTGTCAGCTCGAGCAGTCTGTTTACAATCCCCCCCACAGAGTATAACTGCCTCATCTTGTTGATAATTAATTGTGCATATATCTGCCATAGATGAACATATCCTTTGAAGCTCCACCCGAGTGTTGAACCTCGAGAATTGGATTCTGGAAAGATATAGATCTTTCGGTTCATTTGTTGCGCATTCCCACCGAATCCAGTGTTGGCACGGACGAAAAATGTGTGCAGTTTGAATCAGCTTATTTGGTCCCATGAGCCCTATATTGCCTACAGGTTTTGTACTCCATCGAAATTGACCAGTTAAAAATATGGTCTGTATTACAGCTTACCGAATGCACGGCTAACGAAAAAATCATAGTTTACCCCACCGGATGGGAACAATTTTCATTTTTAATGCATCGTGGGGAAAGGAACAAGCCTCTTCCTTCATGATTTCTGTCCTATTCAAGATAGGTGAACTGTCATGAAAATACGGACTGCACTTTCTGCAATATTGCTTTTCTCCGGAATGATATTTAACTGTTTTTGTTCTCGCATGATGTGGATACTGCGGTTCGGATTGTCTTTTTTTATCTTGGTGGATAGCCGGATAGAAGATAACCCATCTCCACGTCGCATAATAGCCAAGGCTCGGTAATTTCTTGATTTTTTGCCGACTGTCAGCGGTCATCTTTGACTGTGCACATTGTGCATTCTACCGTCAATCCTTCTAACATGCGCTGTCGAACATATTTGAGGACATGCTAAATCCATTCCGCTTACGTCTTGTCTCGATGAGAATTTATGTTGACCTCAATCAATTTTCCGGATCATTGCATTAGTCGTTTCGCCGACATAGTCTGATCGATGTGTGTGTGCCTGGGCAGGCATCACTGATAAGAGGTTTGTTCGTTTGCATAACTTTCTGCCGACGTTCATTGTCACTGGGTCAATCACACAGCAAACGAAATAATTTATTCCAATCATCAGTTGCGGTTGGAGGGGGCAAATAGACGCTATGGGGACGTCGGTCATTTAGACCGAAGGTCATTCAATCCGTGATGTCGTTCAGACCTTAGGTTCGGGACCGCGTCTAAAATAACCCTAAAATATCGTATCTTCGTCAGCAGAGAGATATCCCTGAAATATATGCAGTCATGCATTTCGAAGTTTGGACCATTTTGCCGTTATACATAACGTTCAACTCTTCAAATCAAAGCTTATTTATTATATTGACACTTATCTCTTGAACCATAAATTACTAAAGCTATCCGGTTGATCAGCTTAGGTTTACTAATTAATTGTAGCTCATGTGCAGCTGTAGATTTGAATCTCGGTCAGATTCCCCAGTGTTTCGATCGCTAGGGTGTCACTTCAGCAACGTTTTCCTGAATAAAACCCCCTGGTGGAGTTGACTTTTTACGTGTTATTAACAACCTAAGTTCCGAGATGCTACTGGTCAAGTGCAGGAACCGGAAACCTAGAAATTGTATTAGCCAACCGCATAAGACTCGCTAATTTAGGTGTGCTATGGGTCCAGGTGACCTCATACCTATTCATATTAAATGAATCCAACCAATCGCATTCGAATTTACCCATCCAACTTACAGAGGCATGTGGCACATGTTGCATGTGTCTTAGAAGCTCATTCGGTGGAGTCCGGTGAATTCTAAGGAAAACCTGTCGGGGCAGTCAGCTTACCTGCGAACTGGTGGATGCCACATGCCTCTGTAAGTTGGATGGGTAAATTCGAATGTAAAATGATCATTGCTATCGGTGTGGCCTCGTAGCTCAGCTGGTAGAGCATGCGCGTAGGCGGCGTCCATGCGTGGGTTCGAATCCCACCGAGGCTACTGAACTTATCACAATCGACATAAAAACTTCAAATCTGCCAAACAACTATTTGAACAATCGCATTCTGCTGGATACCTCACCTCAGCCGTAACACGTTACGGATTGGACCGGATCTCTCAAAACACCATCCACTTGGAATGATCAAAAGTTCTCTTTGTGTGAGTTACCGAGTGAGCATTCAAGTTTCAGTGGGGTACGATTTTACTGTTCTTCCCCCAACACGGAAGCGTGATGACCTTGACAGCTGACCGAATGAGCTTTATGCGGTAATGAACGAACCCGTCGGTATTTGACCTCGTTCGGTCTAGTAAGGAAGGAATCGCGTCAAATTGGATCGATAAATCGGTCACCATGCTCAGAATTGAATGTTTCAGTGGTTAGTTTCAATTTAGGCCCCCAATAGCCTAGTGAACAAATCCCATCTAGTGGAGGAAGAACTTAAATTCATCAAATCCTCACTCCTCAATAATGGATACCCGGAGCGGTTTATCGAGAAGAACCTCGCAGAAAAGCCAACAATGCCTAAACCAAGCACGGTCAAAAAGAAAGAACTATTCTTGCAACTCCCGTTCAAAGGAGACTCGAGTGGTGATATACTAAGAAGACGTCTTGAGAAAGCTACCGCAAGAACATTTCCAGCCGCCACTCTACGCTTGATGTTTACAAGCCGGCCTCAGCGCTGCACAAACCTCAAGGATAAGCTGCCAATCCTCTCCTCATCTATGATTACCTATTCTTTCACTTGCACATGTTCGGCAAGTTATGTAGGACGAACGATAAGGCAGCTCTCCCAAAGGATCAGAGAACATAAACCGGCTTGGCTGAGAACGAATTGCAAGAAAACAATAACCAGTGCGATTATGGGCCACCTCGCTGATACCGGACATCAGCCAGACAACGACGCTTTCAAAGTCATCTACAAAGTACCCCAAAACAAATCAAAGCAAGTTCGGATACGTCACTTGTCAACAGCGGAAGCTGTAGCAATCAAAATCATGAACCCACCACTGTGCAAACAGAAGAAGATGGTTGCCGCACTTCAGCTGCCTTGGCCTCAATCAAACCTACGTGATGACCCGAACCATGACCTCAATCGTATCATGATGACGCAACATGACGTGACAAATGACACATGAAAAGAAAGGTCACCGAAAAATCCAAAATTGACCTTCCCCCCCCACCCCTTTTTCACCCATTGTCCCCATTTTATCCACTGACCCCGATTAAACTTGACAGACATTGTTGCATTTTCACACATAACCTCTATGGCCCAACCACATTTATTTCTACATGAGATATAAATACGCACACATAACTGTAAA